TGTAAATAAAACCGCAGATTTGTGGGGGATTTCTGTTACAGTTATTGCGTCCATAATAGATTTAATAGCACCTCATCTTACTATTATTTTTAATACTTGTATCGATTCTGGTGTGCTTCCTGATTTAATGAAGTATAGTAAAGTAATACCTTTATTTAAATCTGGTAGTATATTGGACCCCGCTAATTTTAGACCTATTTCTGTGCTACCAACTCTCAGTAAAATTTTTGAAAAAATAATTTTGGATCAATTGTTAATTTTTTTTAATACTAATAAATTACTTTTAAAAAACCAATTTGTTTTAACAAGGGGTCACTCAACGTCTGACGCCGGTGTTGAGCTTATGAAATATATTTTTAATGCCTCGGAGTATTCACAAGATGCCTTAGGTATTTTCTGTGATTTTTCCAAGGCCTTCGATTGTGTTCATCATGAGACATTAATCAGGAAACTACAACATTACGGTGTAAAAAATTTGGCGCTTAGACTTATTACTTCATATTTAAGTAACAGAACTCAAAAAGTCGTGATCAATGGTAAAGGTTCCTCCGGATCGGTAGTATCAATGGGCGTTCCTCAGGGCTCGATTCTTGGCCCATTCCTGTTTTTAATCTATATTAATGACTTACCTTATCTTGTAGGGGACAATCACGATATAGTATTATTTGCTGACGATACCTCTTTAATTTTCAAACTCCAACGGCAGTTAATTAATTATGACGATGTAAATAATGCTCTATCGAAATTAGTACATTGGTTTAACGCCAACAATATGCTCTTAAACGGCAATAAGACAGTGTTTTAAATTTACAATACCAAATGTAAAACATTCGAATACCAATGTGCTGTTAAATGGGGAGGAGTTGAGTCTTGTGGATACCACTGTTTTTCGTGGTATTATTATTGACGCGAAACTTCAATGGGGCCCCTCTAAATTAGCAAGCAGACTTAGTTCTGCAGCATATGCTGTAAGAAAGATTAGAAGTCTCACAGATGTCGAGACAGCTAAATTAGTGTATTTTAGTTACTTTCATAGCGTAATGTCTTATGGAATTTTGCTATGGGGTAATGCGACTGATATTGAAGCTATATTTGTTTTGCAAAATAGAGCCTTTCGAGCGATTTATAACCTAAATTGTAAAGAGTCCCTCAGACAAAAAATTAAAGAAATAAACATATTAACTTTGGCATCGCAATATATTTATGAAAATGTAATGTATGTACATAAAAACATAAATAGCTTTAATAAGAATAAGGATGTGTATACTTTAAACAATAGGAACAAACATAAGCTTGTAATACCAGTTACTAGACTCCACAAAATCAGTAATTAATTTATGGGGCAATGTATACGCTTTTACAACAATATCCCAGAACGTGTTCGAAGTTTGTCAATAAACAAGTTTAAAAGTTTTATTAAAGAAAGACTACAAAAAGGTTTATTATAATATCAAGGAATACATGAATGAAAATAACCCCTGGGAATAAGGTGATCGCCACCATGCTGCTTCTATGATAAATCATTTAAAATTGTTTAAACGAAATTATTGTTAATAGAAATATGTTTGAAAAAAAAGTCCCGCTGGGTTTCTTGCTGGTTCTTCCCAGGACAGAGGTATTTTCCGAACCAGTGGTAAATAAAAACACTTTCAATAAGAATTATGTAATAATAATCAATATTGAATAAAAAATTATTCTATTCTATTCTATAACTTAGGCCACTTTTATTTTAGGATAATATTTTACATAAGGGTTCGGCGCAAAAACAATTACAACCCATGGATTCCAATCGTAATAAATTATTACACGCGGGCTAAGTCGCGGGGAACAACTAGTAATAAATAAAAATGTATCTAAGACTTAACTCAGCCTGCGTTCACAACCGCTGCACACGGATTTTTTGTGCTCCAGAAACTTTAATCGCGGTACGTGACCACACTTAACGTAATTAAAAATAATTTAAAATTTTGTAAAACCGACTTCAACATAAATTATTAAGAATAACTCAAAAACTATTGGTCAAACCTTGACAAGAAGAAGCACCAGCTTTCAAATAAAAAAAATAATCATCGAAATCGGTTCAACCTGAAAAAAGTTATAAGGTAACACACATAAAAAAACATAGTCGAATTGAGTAGCTCCTCCTTTTTGAAATCGGTAGAAAAAAGAAGGAAACTGACCGCAGTTGTATTGCTCATAAACTGCAACCTTTTTTGGTTTCAGTCTGTCACATAAATTACGAACTTAATTATCTAACCTGGCCTGAAGATCCAAAGCAGCATAGTTATCAGGTTAAACATTTCGATCGGACTAAAAAAAGAAGACCCTATCAGACAAACCCCAGTATAAGTAACCGAACTAAATTAGCAGGTCGACACAAACTTTAATGAGGGCATCCACGAATTTTTCTGTCACCAGGGCGGCGCCACTAGAAAGTGAGGTATAATATTTGACAGATTTCATAGCGGGGAAGTTAATATGTTCGGAAAATGTAAAGGTTATTGTTTCTGTCTGCACTATTAGCTATATTTTATATTAATAAGATTAAAAATAAATAAACCAAACCACAGATATTGATAAAAGTATAAAAATTAAAAAAAAAAGTTAAAAATGTGAAAAAAATTAAAGAGCAAACCAGTGAGGCATAGTTTTGTGTATTAATTTAATACTCTCGAAACTGATAAACTTTTATTAAAAACCAAATTTTCAATTTAATTACACTGTGTAACAAAAACTTTACCTCAGTGTCAACTAGCGATATCTGGTGAGCAGAAAATAATTAGCCCTCATTAGATACGGGGGCGACATTGAAAGTTTTTAGAACTGGCCACTTGTATACGATATAATGAAAAAATAAGTTCATATATTGAAAATGGAACTCTGTCAATATTATTGTGTATCTATGTATTTTATTAATTTGTCATTTGTTTACGATTTGGCGGCAAATATAAAAATTGCCTGTGTCACGTCAGCATGAATTTAACGCGAGAAAATCTTCGTACAATGATTTTTTATGACTTTCGATGTCATTTAAGTCAACAAGAAAGTTATGATAGACTTCGATTGGCCTTTCACGATGAAGCCCCATCTCGTGCCACTGTTTACAACTGGTTTAAAGAGTTTAAACGTTGTCGCACTAATCTCACCGATGATTTGCATGAGGGACGGCCTTCTACGGCGACGACTGAAGATAGTAGTTAGTTTGTACCAGTTCTAGCTCACGGTGGGTCGACGGATCGTAAAAAACGTACGTACGTACCCACTTACTAACTTATATAATATGCAATTTGGATACAGATGATAAACCAGGCTCACATTGGATAGCTTTATATATCAATACGAATGGCATCGGTCAATATTTTGATTCATATGGACGATCACCGATATCATCTAGTTTTTAAAAAGGAATTGTAAAAGATGGGACTGGAATGTTTATAGGATTCAGAATGAGTTTTTGCTATATTAGCTGCTATAGTAGTTAATTATCTATTGAGAATATTATATATACTGTATTTTATTTTGTACATAAAGACTGCTTGCAAAGGCAAGCTCAACGCCCCCTCGAATCTTGCGCCCTAGGCTCGAGCCTAGTTAGCCTGTGGGTAAATCAGGCCCTGACGATCGGGATAAAACCTACGATACCATCCACACCATCTAGATTCTTGGCGGTTCACCATGACTGTGAGTTACTAGGAGTTTTCGTTTTAGAGTTTTAATAAAATTATTGAAAAGTTAAATTGTGTCAATCAGTAGTCTTGCTACAATTTGAAAAGTCAACCATATACCATTGGATTCGCAATAAAAATATCTATATTTACACATTAATTTTTTTATGAAAAAGAATGAGGTAAATTATATCAGTTTACCTGTTTACACCTGGTTGACAGGTATGGGTTGCATGGAAAAAGGTAGTCAACCATGGTGTGGCATTTTCTATTATATATATATATATATATATTTTTTCGATTGAGACCAATTTTATTTTATTTAATATTTATATTTAGTAAAAAAATTCAATAATTCTTAATTAAAAATAGCCTTGCTAAAACATAGGCTGTCAATCACCCCGATTTGTATTTATTTGTACATTTTATCATAAAAAAAATTATTTCTACTTCTACTACTTCTTTAAAAAATCATTTAGTCTGTCCATGCCACTGCTACTTTTTCTACGTGGTAGAGCCATGCTGCAGCTATATTATGGTTGTAGCACGAATGGGTCGGCTCGACCGGGGAAGGACCACGCTCTCACAAAAAACCAGCGTAAAATAGCAGCTTAACGCTGCTTTATTTAGTATAGTAAGGCATTCCATCTTGGTCCTCACGGGTGACAACGCATCTGCATCTTGAGTCTTTATTGAGGATAGATGTAGATGTCTATGGGTCACAGTAACCACTTACCATCAGGTGGACTGTGTGCTCGTTTGTCACCCGATCCTATAAAAAAAAAACTGAATTCGAAGAATTCAAAAAATTTAAAACTGAAAAGAAAAATACAGTGCAATAGACCTGCCCTTAACACATCTCTTCTGTCTCCGCCTTCGTTTCCGGTTCCGATTTCGGTTCCGGTTCCGACAAACAAAATTTTAAAACTCCGCTTCCGAATTGGGTTCTGATATAACCACTTCCGTAACGTCCCTAGTTAAAATAAGTGCCTCGCCGCGCCGTGTCGCCCTTTCTGTATTTTTGTACTGTCGTTTAAATCCCGCACCCTTTCAAACAATAGTCATTGATAAAAAATATAGCCAACTAATTAGAAACATCAAAATCGTGATGATATTCTTATTGTACTAAAGAACAATAGATGAATTTAGATGAGTTACTGAGGGTACACGGATCAACCGTTTAGTGGCGGTGTAAGAATATCCACTACCCCATATCGTGTCGTTAGAGGCAACAAAGGGAAATTGAGGCCTATGTTCAGCAGTGGGCCGTCATAGATGGATGTAATTGATGGATGGATGGCCAGCTGTAGGACGTATAAATAGCCTGTAAGTTACCTAGGAAGTCTTGGTTGGCGGAGAGCTTTTCGTCGAGCTTGGACTTGAGGCAGGGCTCGCAGGCGGAGTGCAGGCACTCCATGAGCTTGGGCGTGCCCTCGGCGTGCGCCAGCGCCACGTGGCACAGCACGCAGCGCGCGCCGAGGGCAGCTCGCGGAGACGCCAGTGAGTCGGCGCCCTCGCCCTCCGCCTTGCCGTCGCCCTCCCCGCCCTCCGCCTCGCCCTCGCCATCGCCTGCCGCGCTGCCCACCTGAACATAAGTGCACAGGTGTTTGTACGCGTTCAACACTCACATCAGATATATTGTTTGGTCATCGACCAAATCTGTGTGTGTAAAAATTTATAATAAAATCCCTAAATGTCTACAAAAAGAAGAATCATTGAATTCATAATCATCATAAATATTTAATTGAAAAAAGTTTCTATTCGTTGTCAGTTTTTCGGTGAAAAATAATAATACTTGAATATATATTTAATATTTATATAATACTTTTTTTTTTAAAAAGCATAATAAAAACGTGTATATATTATATAGTGTAAATAAAATAAGTAATTCTTCTTTCTAACCCTTACACCTTAAAAACGGCAAGGCCCCAGGCCAGGATGGAATTACAGCGGAGCTTCTGAAAGCGGGTGGAAAACCGGTACTTGAAGTCCTTCAGAAGCTCTTTAATTCCGTCCTCCATGGTGGCATTACACCGGAGGCGTGGAGCAGAAGTGCGGTGGTCTTGTTCTTCAAGAAAGGCGACAACGCTCTTTTGAAGAACTACAGACCGATTTCCCTTCTGAGCCGCGTCTACGTGCTGTTTTCGAGAGTCATTACGAATCGTCTCGCGCGCAGACTTGACGACTTCCAGCCTCCCGAACAAGCCGGTTTCCGAAAAGGCTTTAGCACCATAGACCACATACATACCCTTCGGCAAATTGTACAGAAGTCCGAAGAGTACAATTTGCCACTATGTCTGGCGTATGTGGACTATGAGAAAGCCTTTGATTCCGTCGAAATTTGGGCGGTGCTGCAGTCCCTTCAGCGATGCCAAGTTGACTGTCGGTATATCGAAGTGTTGAAGTGCTTGTACAGTAGGACTACGATGGCTATCCGAGTACAGAACCAGAGTACGAAACCTATCCAATTGCAGAGAGGTGTAAGACAGGGTGACGTCATATCCCCGAAACTCTTCACCGCTGCATTGGAAGATGTTTTCAAGCTTCTGGACTGGAAAGGATACGGTATCAACATCAATGGCGAGTACATCACTCACCTTCGATTTGCCGACGATATAGTCCTTATGGCAGAATCGCTGGAGGACCTAAGCACTATGCTCAATGACCTCAATAGTGTTTCCCAACGGATAGGTCTTAAGATGAACATGGACAAAACAAAGATCATGTTTAATGTCCATGTCACACCTATGCCGGTAGTTGTTGGGAACACTAAGCTCGAAGTTGTTGACGAGTATGTTTACCTGGGATAAATAGTCCGATTAGGTAAGTCCAACTTCGACCGAGAGGTCAATCGACGGATTCAACTCGGTTGGGCAGCGTTCGGGAAATTACGGCACATCTTCTCGTCAGGTATACCTCAAAACTTGAAAACGAGACTGTACACCCAGTGCGTGTTGCCAGTGATGACATACGGAACTGAGACGTGGTCCTTCACTGCTGGCCGGATGAGGAAGCTCAAGGTCGCTCAGCGAGCTATGGAGAGGGCTATGCTCGGAGTTTCTCTGCGTGATAAACTCAGAAATGAGGATATCCGCAGTAGAACCAGAGTGACCGACATAGCCCAACGGATTAGTAAGCTGAAGTGGCAATGGGCCGGCCATATAGCTCGAAGAACCGACAACCGATGGGGAAGAAAGGTTCTCGAGTGGCAACCTCGTACCGGCAGGCGAAGTGTAGGGCGTCCCCCCACTAGATGGAGTGACGACCTGGTAAGATTTGCAGGAAGTCGATGGATGCAGGTGGCTCAGGACCGTGCTTTGTGGCATTCTTTGGGGGAGGCCTATGTTCAGCAGTGGACTTGTGAAGGGCTGTAATGATGATGATGATGATGAAGAGTAAAATTTATATTACAGATCTAGCGACCATCTCAGCACTAAAAGAAAATATTGTTCGTGAAGTTAATGGTAAACCTCTGTCATTTCTCCCACAACTAGCTGGAATGTTGAAGTCAGATTCGACAAGTGAGTCCACCTGACAGTCAACATTTTGACAAAATAATTATTTCTTTCTTTTGTGTTATTTATATATTAATTCTGAATTCTGAAGGGAAAACTTGTACCCTTTTTTAAGCATATTGCATGCATGGAGATTTGGTTTGGACAAATTATGTCTTTTGTTGATGTTCACGCTGCCAACGTATGTAATGATGTACGAGTATATACTATGTATATGTTATTACTCTAAGGCCAATGTCAAACACTTAATAGTTTGTGGTTAAACAGTGGTACAAAGTAGAGAAAGGATTTTAAAATGTTGCCATAAATTAATTAAATAAATTATATGCAATTTGTAGTTTTTTATTTAAATTTATAATCCTAATTCTCACACTGGAAACATGTATATAATGTAACTACTACACATATTAATTACACTTACTACAAATATTAATTGATCAGTGTCACTGTAATGGAGTAATTAATTATTTAAGAGCAGAAAACATATTAATTCAGAAAATTTATATAAACTGTGTACCAAAATAATTACATTCATAGAACTAAAAGTTTAAATTTTATTGTTTTCTCCTTCCTTTGTGTCAATATCAACATAGTATGTTAGTTAAAAAGGGTAAAAAAATTGGTAGTGCAACATAGAGCTATAAATTCATTGCACGAGTGGAAAAAAATGGCTTGGAAAGTAAATATTCATGGTGTTTATTGTGTCAGATTGTTTTTTTAGCAAATACTAAAATGCTAAAAAGAAATTAATAACATTCTGGGTGTGCATACGAGAATACTTTTTGATTTGATCTTTTAATAATAATTCACAGATTAATGAGAATATTGTTGCTAGACTTGGAGATTAGTCACTCCACCATACAGCATTAATATATTTTGATTAATGCTCAAAATGGGTCAGGTATAATCTCTAGTGGGTATAGTATAATTTTCAGAAAAGAACAATTTCCCGATAAAGCCAAAAAAGTTTGTTATGAGAGTACTGTTTGTATAAACAACACTCAACTGTGTCAAATTGCAAAAATAATATTTATTTCCAATGAATCAAGTGGTAAAATTAAGTTTTGTACAACTGACTTCAATATAAATGAAATAAGAACATCATCAATGTAGTTAAAGTCAATTAAATATGTATTATTAACAACTTCCCTGTTCACGAAAGAAACACAAAGTTAAAACAATCGAAATGTTCATAATGTGACTCATTAGACAGGGAAATATAATCTTGATCAAATTTATACGGGACCACATGAGAAGCACCCGCTTTCAAATAAATAAAGAAGCATCATAATCTAACCTACAAAAAAATTCAGAGGTAACACACAAAATACAGTCACATTGAGAACCTCTTTTGTTTGAAGGTCATAACCAAAGTGACATAATCTACTCATTCTAGAGTTATGGTTTACCAGTTATTGGAGTGCAGTTTGTCATTGGTAAAACTCCCATAGTTTTTGCCAAAATTGTGAGTGTAGCAAATTGTAAAAAAATTTACCAAGCATTTGACTATATCTGACTTACATAAAATAAAAATATTATTTTGATGATAATGATATGTAATTTATAATTTTTAAGATTAATAACCTGATAGTTATTCTTATTACTATTTTATTGACCATGTATCATACATACTTTATTTATATTTTTACTTTAATTTTTTTATGTGGTAGAGCCATGCTGCAGCTATATTAGTAGTATAGTTGTAGCACGAATGGGTCGGCTCGAACGGGGAAGGACCACACTCTCACAGAATAACAGCGTAAAATAGCAGCCTAACACTGCTGTTTCGTATGGTGAGTGTAGAGAACCGGAGACCCTTTTTACTGGAAAAGAGATATTCCATCTTAGTCCTCATGGGTGACAACGCATTCTTTGACAGACCACCATATTCCTAATAATCCACATATATATGTAGTAAAAGAAGCCTTAGAAAATGCCAATAAGATATTGTAACGCCTTAAAAAGATTGAAAGAATCAGAATATCCAGAGGAGCAGCATTAATGTTTTGTCCATGTTCATCTTAAGAGCTGAATTATTCGTTGGAAGACACTATTGAGGACTTCTTCTTCTTCTTCTTTACTTTTTGGCTTCTCTTATAAGAATTCTGCCAATGTCAAGTCAGTCATGGGAGTGACAACAAGGTAAATAATTTTTTTTTTTATAATTTTTTTTAAATTTTTTTTTTGTGATTGGCTTCTAATCTACAACAAAAGACACCACAAACATTTATAATTCTACCACCAACAATGATTAGTTTTTGTTACAACTTAATACTATTAGTATAAATAAAATCACATAAAATATGAACAAATGAGGAGAACATGAGAGACAGCAGACAGGTAGAGGTTAGTAGGACGAGGGATGTTTTGAGGAAGGATATCATACAAGGAGAACTTGAGTCGAGGACATTCGAAAAATATGTGATCGGTTGAACCTTCATCAAGACCACATTCACATAAAGAATTATCCCTTATCCTTAATTTGGCTAGGTGTACCGGTATGCAAGAATGACCAAAGCGAAGACGGCAAATGGTTGATGTAGTAAATATGTTAGCTTCACGATAATGGAAAAACCAAGGTTTGTATGGGATTGTCTTGAACCCGAGCATAGTGTTTACATTTTATGATTTTAGTTTGGTCCCAGAGACCTTGCCAAGATGCCATGAAGTCAGATCCTGCTAGTGGAAGCAAGTCATGGGGGAAAATTTGATACTGAGAGAGGATACCTGTTCGTGTTCCTTTCTTAGCCAAGAAATCAGCACACTCATTACTACATATCCCAGAATGGCCTGGAATCCAAGCCAAAACAACTTTTAGGCCTTTTTTGTGACAATTATATAATGCTTTTTTAATAAAGAGGATAGGGAAAAGATTTGATTTAGAGTGGAAGGAGCTGGAGATAATGGTTTGGAGACAGCTAAGGGAGTCAGAGAGAATTAAGGTATTTTTCAAGTTGTGAGATTCGGCATATAGAATTGCCTCTAAGATGGCAATAGATTCACCTGTGAAAACTGATGATTCAGGTGGGCACTTAAAATTTAATATTATTCTATATTTAGGGATCCAAACTGCAGAACCTACACAATCTTTGTTAGAAGTTTTTGAAGCATCTGTGTACATTATGATCCAGTCTTGCCAATTTTCTGAGATGATTTTCTTTAATTTGCTGTTAGGATCAATGGTTTTCTTGTCAAGTCCAAAGTCAAGGATGACGTTTGGATTGAAAGCTAGTGCTTCGTAGGGAGTGAAGAAGAGTAAGTTGTTGCTATTTTGGACGATTGGAGATTGAATGTTTACAAACTTTATATAGCTTTTTAAAAGACATGGTGTATCTTTATGTCGCCAGTATGGGGAAATTGAAATTTGTTGGTGAAGTGAGTTTAGTATATGGAACAGCGGATGGTTATGAAGAAAACACTTTTTGAACCAGAATTTGTCTGCTAGGTACTGCCTGCGAAGAAAGAGAGGACCCTCACCACATTCGACCTGGAGAGCGTTAGTGGGGGTAGATTTCATTCCTCCTATTATAATGTGAAGGCATTTTACTTGAATTTGATCCAAAGTTTTCAGTGCACTTTTATTGCATGGTTCCCACAAAAAGGAAGAATGGTCAAAATGGCTTCTAATCAAAGCATTATATAAAAGCTTTTGGGAGTAAGGATGAGAGCCCCACCAAGCTCCTGATATAGCACTAATGACGTTAAGATTTTTTTCGCATTTTGAAGCTATGTAGGATATGTGGGGAATTCCAGACAATTTGCTATCTAGCATAACACCAAGGAATTTCACATGGCTCACATTGGGAATCAATGAGTCACCAATAGAGATTGAAACTTCTTGGATGAGTGGATTGACGTTCTGTTGTACTCGGTTAGCTACCGTAGCCCTACTGTACAAACACTCCAGCACTTCGATATACCGACACTCAACTTGGCACCGCTGAAGGGACAGCAGCACTACTCAAATTTCGACAGAATCAAAGGCTTTCTCATAGTCCACATACGCAAGGCAAAGTGGCAGATTGTACTCTTCTGTCTTCTGAACAATTTGCCGAAGGGTATGTATGGTGTCTATGGTACTAAAGCCTCTTCGGAAATTAGTTTGTTTGGGAGGCTGGAAGTCGTAATGACTAGCGAAAACAGCACGTAGACGCGGCTCAGAAGGAAAGTCGGTCTGTAGTTCTTCAAGAGAGCGTTGTCACCTTTCTTAAAGAACGAGACCACCACACTTCTGCTCCGCGCCTCCGGAGTAGTCCCACCATAAAGGACAGAATTAAAGAGCTTCTAAAAGACTTCGAAATATCGGTTTTCCACCCGCTTTCAGAAGCTCCGAGGTAATTCCATCCTCACCTGGGGCCTTGCCGTTTTTAAGGTGCTGGAGAGCCATTCTAACATCACTCAGACTGACTTCTGGGATATCATCGGAATAGTGTCGGATAAGACTCGCCCTTGGATTGTTACTCACACTTGCATGTGACTCCAACGTTGACGTGTACAGCTGTCCATAGAACCTCTCAATCTCACTCAAAGTCTCAGGTATCCCGGAAACGATTCTGCCACACTTGGTCTTCAGCTTTGACAGTTGGCTCTTTCTGGCAAACAGATCTCTGACAAGACTTTGGAACCTTGGTTCTGGTCAATCGCTTCTTCAATACAAGCAATATTGAAGTTGCGTAAGTGCCGTCGCATGCATTTGGAGATCTGTCTGTTCAGTTGCCTCTATGCTGTCAAATCTATTGAAGACTGCAGCTTCATATCCCGTCTAACAGCCATGAGATTAAGAGTGTTATCAGAGAGTTTTTGTGTTCTTCTGCATGGACAGTTTCCACAAGCTTATCATTCATATCGTCCACTTCATTGCAGTCTTCTAGGCACTGAAAACAGTTTTGTAACTCGAGTAGAAAGGTTTCGTGACTTTGGATTAAAGCACGAGGGGGACGGAGCGTTGACCTCATTAGGCGAGACCTCTCCAACTTAACGCATAGGTTCAGAGTGTACCAGTCTTCTCCCTCGCGATCACTGAGAGATCACTGAACAGTTATCGTCTGGTCATCATAATGAAGTCAATCTCATTTTTTGTTGAACCGTCGGGGCTCGACCAGGTCCACTACCTGTGGGGCCGGTTCTGGAAGAAAGAGTTCATCATAAAGAGTCTCTCTTTCTCCATGAAGTCGGCCAGCTGCTGACCTCTTGGGTTCCGTTGCCCTATTCCAAGTTCTCTCTTGTGCCTAGTTTTGCGTTGAAGTCTCCCATTAACACTGTATAGTGGGTTTAGGAGGAATGAATAGCTCTAGAGATATCCTCATACATTTCCTCCACCTCCTCATTGGGATGAGGTTCATGCGTAAACCTGTATGACCTTCAGCGAATACAGTTTGGTGATTCTGAGTATAAGGTACACAACCCTTGTCAACACACGCCCAATCTTTACAATGTTGTAAACGAGAGACTTGTGAACGATAAATCCAACACCTCCTTGGACAGATGGTCGCCCTCCTGGTGATAGAACAAGTTGCCGAATACGAGGATTACCGTGACCTCCCCCTCTCTTCAGACTTTGGATAATCCTATAATATTCCAGCTCAACTTGTCTATCTCTTCTTCAAACTCCAGGATCTTCTTGTCAGTCCTCAGGATGCGTGCGTTATAAGTTGCCAAGTCGAGTCATTGTGGGTGGCAACCAAACCTCTGCCGAAGATTCTTAGCACCCCCTGCCCCGCCGTTACCATGGTCGCCACCTTAGTCAGGAGTAGCAGGGCCACCGGGGACTGGGGGCCATTTATTAATGTCATTGCCATAGTTGCCACACTTGGCGAGCGCGTTGGCAACCGCAGTTTTTTTATTGCTTTTTGCTGTTATCAGAATGATGCTGCTGCCCATCTTCTGCCTCAGTTTCGATCTGTCGCCTTTTACGACACCCACGGGAAGATATGGGGTATTGAGTATTCTTACCCGCCACTACACTGTGATTATAGTTAAAAAAATAATTTATTTTTCTACATAGTCTCCTAACAAGTCAATGCATTTGGTCCACTAATCTTTTGTAAACCCAGAAATCCCTTAGAATTTTTTTTTATCTTGACCCACCAAAAAAACATCAACAGCATCCATCACTTCGCTATCATCTGCAAATTTCTTGCCTCGGAGGTGTTCTTTATGCCGAGGAAACAGACGGAAGTCACTGTTCAAACAGTTCAAATCCTGTTTCTTGCTGCTGATTTGTGAGCCAAAGCATTGTCAATGTTCTGTCCAGCTTAAGGTCCTTGGCCCAGCAAGCTACTGTGGAATATGAAGGAGCAGAGTCCCTCAATGTTTCCACCAAGTCACTGTGTATGTCTTTGGTATACATTTTTTTAGACAATAACAGCTCTAATTCATTTTTCTCCATTTTGATGTTATCTCTTCAATGATTCATATTCAAATGAATATACCTCCTGGAAATCGTAGCCTATTTATATGATTTTTATGCTGATCTAGTGGGTACATAAGCAATAAGAAAAAGGCCAATTATCATTACTAATGGATCAATCATATATATGTATAGTATTTTGTTTTATTTATTTTCAATAATTCTACCTACATAGAAAAAGTGACTTACTGATATTATATTTTTAACACTTCAAAAAAAGGAGACACTCAATTTGTATTTTTTATGTGTTATCTCGGAACTTTTTTCTAGGTGAACTGATTTTGATGATTCTTTTTTAAAAGCTAGTGCTTCTCATATGTGGTCCCCAATAAATTTGATCAAGATCTGAGCAGTAGTTTTTAATTTATCCTTAATAATGCATATTTAATTGACTTCGACTACATTGAAGATGTCTCACCTTATTTTATTTATATTGAAGTTGGTTGTACAATATTTGTATTTTTACCACTTGTTAAACCACTTGTAAAAATGGTGATGTTATTGGTCAGGCAGCTCCAGGCGGAAGCACCCCAGATCACACCATTGTAACATATTCCTTAATGGAGTCATGTAATAATTCAATTGCAGGATGAGATGGGAGTGACATGACAACTGAACAATGAATTTTCTCTTTTAATTTTGATTAATTTATTTTCCATGATAATAAAGGTTCTTGAGTGGCAGCCTCGTACGGGTAGGCGAAGTGTAGGGCGACCCCCACCAGATGGAGTGACGACCTGGTAAAACATGCAGGAAGTCGATGGATGCAGGTGGCTCAGGACCGTGCTTTGTGGCATTCCTTGGGGGAGGCCTATGTTCAGCAGTAGACTTATGAAAGGCTGTAATGATGATGATGATGATGATGATAATAATGTGTGTAAACCGAATACACATGCATACTACTAAAGAATTTCTTATTAATAATGATAATGAATTATTAATGAAAATTTAAAGTTAATATTTTTGTGTGATTAAAATTTTAGTGATTTGTAAATCCTAGATATCTCACATGAAAACATACATTGAGATTAGGTGCGGGAGCAGGAGCGGTCCCGGCTGCTCCATCAGGCAGCTCGTCGGGTGCTTCCTCTTTAATTGTAACACCGAGCAGTGGCCCAAGGTCCATGAGCGCGCGCTCTATCTCCTCACCACTCGGTTGGAAACCAGCGTTTTCCATTTGTGACGTGATGAACTCCTATCTTATTTGACTTGTTTCACACATATTTTCACTACATCCGAAGGAAAAGTTGTGTCCAGAACTTTCACTCGCCAGCCTCTACAATCGTGTACGTCAACATAATTGAGCACTTAATGTGAGATGAATGCCACTCGAAAGCGTCTTTTGAAATTCAGACCTTTAATTCACTTAACTTATCACTAATCACAAAAAACATTCTCACTTAAAAGATATCAACTACAAAATTATTTAAAAGCTTCATGCGATAATAATTAACTTTTTTTATACAAAATATTAACGTGCGTCCTTCTGCACAAAACCATGAAAGCACCATAGACTAAGATAAGATAAGTAGTCTTTGGCTTAGGTCTTTGTAAGTGATGCCAGTGGCGAACACTATTTTCGCATCTGGTTGAAAATGTTAATGTAATAATTTAAAATTAAAAATTTTGTACAGCCGACTTCAATATAAGCGTCTTCAATATAAGTTATTTAAGAATAACTCAATAACCATTGGTCTGACCTTGATAAAATTCATATGGGACCACACGAGAACTATCAGCTTTCATATAAAAAAAGAATCATCGAAATCGGTTCACCCAGTACAAAGTTATGAGGTAACACACATAAAAAAAACATACACTCGAATTGAGTACCGTCTCCTTTTTGGAAGTCGGCAGAAAAGAAAGCGGCATTTGGCTGCCATATTGTAGTAATAGTAAGAAAGAAACAAGATGAAAAATTACAATTTACGTGACTCGGTATGTCCATGTTGCAGAAAAAGTATTAATTTATTACATACATACATACATAAACACTCTCGCCTGGTACTCAAAAGTCAGAAGGGTAGGCAAAGCTATGGACTTCCATTTGGTCGCAGGGAAGATAATTTCTAAAAAAAATGTAAAGGTTGATGTTTCTCTCTGTATTATTACTTATATGTTATATTGATTACATTAAAATAAATAAACAAAATTATGAATATAACTAAAAGTAATTAAAATTAAGAAAGGGGTATAAAGTACAATAAATTAAAGATCAAATCACTGACGCATTGTGTAGTGTATAATATAACACTCCAGAAACTGATAAACTATTATTTTAAACAAATTTCTCAATTAATTGACATTGCGTTACATAAAACTTTACCTCAGTCACAACTAGCAACATATGGTGAGTGGAAGATTATTAGCCCTCGTTGATAGATTTTACAGCCGGTAACGGTTATATTAATGATAGATAGCGTAAAATAAAACGTAATAGAGGACTATTGACAGTTAGAGGCATGAAAATGAATCTATGCACTGTAATATTAATAAATTTAAAATTCAAGGTTTGTAAAAACTTCAAACTACAGTCTACACAAGTTCATATATTTTTCTTGTATTCTTAAGAACATATTATTCTATCATATGACCTCTTAATTTGTACAAAGAAACCTTTGCGACTTGTTGATTCCGATACGGTAATGGTTGTACTACCGCAGAACATGCCAATTGCCAGATTAATGACAACACTGAGTCGTAACCATAGAGAAAGTAGAGTTTATTTGAATAGTATGGATTTACCATTCATTATGTTATAAAATGTGGTAGGTATTCCATTCCTATTCTTTATTTATTTGATTATAGATTAGTATTATATTCTTTGAGTTTATCTTAGAGATTTTCCCAAATAATATTCAATCGACGGTGAAAGAAATCATTTGATGAAACAAACATGTAAATATAAAAATAAATTATGGCCTATAATATAAACGTCCCACTTCTGAACACAGGCCTACTCATTTTAGGGCTGGGAGATGTCCACCGCTCTTCCCTATGACTATCCGCACACACGCAATAATATTGTCAATGCAAGATTGTCAAAAATCTTCATCAATATATGGTCCCGCACACTATGCAATATTATTGGCAATTTTTCATGGTACAATCTGACTTAGTCGCTCTGCAGCTAGATTCATGTAGCTTGCTACATATATATTTATCTATGGATTCATGTGTGTACGTTTAATATAATGGATAGAAAGAAAAAAGGCGTTACATTGAGTATTGCATTAATTTTACTAACTAAGAAAGGGCAATCAAGAAAGAAACCATGGATAAATATTTTTCTTTCATTCAATTTTTTTCTATACGTTTTCTCTTATGCTATTTGATTTGTTTTTTTTTTTAATAAATATCGAGCAACTTATCAAGCGCATTATTTTTCCTAACTTTATCGCGAGATGCTTCGCAGGGTGTATTTCATAATTCGGGATAAGTTGATATCAACAATATCAACACTATTTCCACTGTTTTCGTCCTCTATTTTGAACAAACACGAACGTCCTTTGCCTTGAAATCTTTTCCTCAACTAAAATATTGCCGAGCGACCGCAAACGACAATATTATTGACAATACCCCTGCTTCCACCCAATATTGACGTGACAAAATCAGAATTTCTGGATATCAACAATAATATTGAACAATATCGCAATACAGGCCACACAAACAATATTATTGAAAATACGTACTTTATTGTCAATAATATTGATTGTGTGCGGCTAGCCTATGAGTGTTGGCAGACTTCACATGTCTTCAATTTTTTTTTTTATTTCTAAGACACTCAGGTTTCCTTACGATTTTTTACATTACCGTAGAGCTCTTGGTGAATCAGCACTTAAAACTGCAAGGAATAATTACATTTATGCCGATTGGGATCGAAGCCGGGTCGCTCGCGAATATTTACGGCGAGCCCTTAGCCCTAGATTTACCACGCATGTCTATAGAGTAAAATATTTTGGAGACTGTGTAATAATTAAACAATTAATTTAATAAATGTTTTAACTTTTATTAATAAGACTAGTTTTTCAAATATTCTAAAGTACGTTCTTTTATATTTTATATAACTGAACTTACAGCCCACCTAATGGTAAGTGGCTACTGCAGCTCATGGAAAACTTGGAACTTGCAGCCAACATCAAACAAAGAAGGCTATTGATGCGCTCTAATTACCAAGCTTCTGTAAAAAACTACAAATGGTCGATATTCGGTGCTGATAAAATTACAGTCAAAACATAATTCTTATGTCTTAAATAAAATATAGATAACAGTAAAAAATAAACGAAAAAAAAATACGTTAAGGGTAGTGTATTTATTTAAATTAGATTAAAAAAAATTGTAAAGTTCTTGAAAAAATAATGATATCCTTTAAAAAACATAAATTTGAAAAGACGGCCAAGATAAGTACCTACAAGACATTCGACGTTCGGGGTTGTCTGCTTTACCAATAAAATGGGGGTCACGACTTTCTCTGCTACCATGCATCTGCATTATAAATTGTAACTCAAGATAAGGTGTCTGTCTGCTTAGGTGCCTTAAGATACCATCGCCTACTGTCAGCTGTTTGCTGGCTCAAGTTGACGTCAAAATCTTCCAAGGGCTGCAGTGTACTATGAAGGATAATTATAAATTGTAACTTCAGGTTCAGAATGGTTAGAACCCAGAGCCGTAAAGCCAGTTATAAAAAAAAACTTTAACGTAGTGATTATATTCTCTTTGTCCATACTCCTTGGCTTAGTTTGACAACTTCGTCGAGCTGGTGAAGTGAAGAGGTGAAGAGCGTAGATAGAGGATTGAATAGATAAAGCATTCGCGTATGCTTTTGAGATAGAAATAGGCGGGAGGTACTTTCACTGGGTTACCAGATATTGTTCCATTTCCCCCGTTATGGGTTTATTTATATTCACAGCACTTACATTCATACAGAAAACTTAATTGTTACCATTAAAAATGTTCTTTTATAATTCAGATGATTAATTAATTTCTCTTGAAAATACATTCTGTGACTAAAAACTACGGGCGGAAACGGCGTAAAAACAGAATCATGATTCTGTAGGTATTCAACGGCGCATCGACGATTTTACTGGACATTCAATAACTCTTTGGATTTCGACGGCACTAAGTGAAGGCGCTAATAGTACAAAGTGTGATATCGCTAATAAATAACAATATGTTATGTATGTACTTAAATATTAATTGAGAATAAAAATATTAAATAATAAACCAAAATTTCCTTGTCGAGTTTTGTTTTTACAAAAAAAAAAAAAACATTTAACATACCATTCCATCACAAGTTCAGTGCTGAACACAGGCCTTCGAAAGGAAAGGGTTTCCACTTAGGTTTTGTAGTACAAAATACGGTTAAGAGCCTACTCCCGCGATTTCCTGCATGTTTTGCTAAGTTAGTGTCTTGTGTGCGGCAAGTTGTGGCGTACAAGAGAATTTGTCTATACACGGGATGATATTACCCCGCGTCGTAAGCAATAATACAAGATGGGGATGGGGCAGCAGCACTTTCCCGATGAAAACTTAAAATAATAAATAACTGCGGTGGCCAACCAGCATAACACATATTTTCACGCAGGCGTTGCAACTATGGCAAAAATCATCCTATGAGGATATCTGTAGAAGGCCTTTTTCAGGTGACTTACTTATGGTTAGGTGGCTTAATCATGTTACCTGATGGTTAAGGTGGTAAAATGTTTAGTTAATATACGTTGTAAAGCATCAAGAAAGGGTTTGTTTTTCTAATATGTTGGTATATAAAATAAAAACGAATGTTTTATAATATTCTATTTTAATTTACCATGCAGTGTAAGATTATCTGCTATCTCATATCATTCCATGGGTGGTGTATGAGGCGATATAGGCAAACATCAAAGAAGATAAATAGCAGCATTCTCCTGATAACAGCTAAATAAAAAAAAACAGTGCTTGACAACCCGCTTTCCAAGCGTTGAAACTATGCCAAATAACTATCATCATGTTTATGTTCAACAGTGGACTTTTGATAGACTGTAAAGATATATATTCTATTTAAATGAAAATATATTGAAATTTAAAAAGGAAAAAGAACTAAATTTTGTGTACTTACACAACATTTAGAAATATTAACAATGTTACATTAAATAAAAGAAATGGAAACACAATTATATATTAAATATAATTCAATAAAAT